AACCGTCGGATGCGGTCAGGAGGGTAGAGTCGATTACAGTCGACGGTGCTAGAAGGAGAGGACGACCAAGGCGGAAGTGGGAAGACTGCTTGAGATCTGATTTGAAGGATTTAGCCCTTACCGAGGACATGACCTCTGATAGGAAAATATGGAGACTTAAGACCAGGGTAGCCGAGTAGTGCGGGTCACATCCATAGGGTATATCATCTCTGTATTCTTTAAATGCCTTTGTAGTAATTTCCATGATTTTTACTTTTTATACGTTTCTGTCATTGGAATTTATGAAGGCTTAGAACTAGGGTAGCGGAGTACTGTTGCCTTAGTTTTAGGTTTTAACATATTTGACTTTATTCCTTCTCGTAGCTTGCTATCATTGACTTCTGTGTATCATTCTCTTCATGTTTCCCCTTTTTAAATTTAGGTGGGTCTTACGTTTCTGTCTATTTGCAGATATTTTTACGTAGGGATTTATTTGCAAGGATTACTTCACATTACAGACACGCATATGAAGACTACATATGAAGACTGTTCAACTATTTATTTATTTATTTATTTATACATGCATTGCATTTTATCTTTATTTTTAATTTTTTGACTGCCGGAGGTCTTCCACTGAAGTTGCTCTCAACCTGGATTTGGAGCAGCCTACTACCCTACATCCCCTTTACCCCATTGCATATGGGAATAGGGTTTTGTTGTTGTTGTTGTTGTTCTCTGGGAGCCTAAACATCAAAACCCACAAATAAATGGAAATAGATTTTGACTTCAATCAAATTCTCTTTTTACTCAAAGCTTAAACCCAAATCTGATTAACAATTTAAACCATCCTCTCTAACTATCCTCTTCCGCCTCTTTTTCCGTCATCTTTCCAACTTTTTTTATGTCTTAAAGATATTTATGTTTTTTTTAAGTGATATTATTTTATTTTTAATGTTTATATATTAATTATTTACAATTTTATGAAGTGAAAAATAATAAAAATATAATTATTTAAAATAATATTTAAGTTTATGTTATTAAAAATAATTTTTATATATTATAAAAATATTTGTCCACTTGAGCTCATAATATTATTTTTTTAATATTATATTATATTTTATATAAATAAATATGATACTTATGAGAAAAAAATAGAATATAGAATTGATATATTAATTATATTTTAAATATATATTTTTTCTCAAAAATTAGATAGGGTTAATTACCCTATTCATACATGAACTATACCCGATTCTCAGTTTCATATATAAAGTTTAAAAATTCTAGATTAACTACATAATGTTTTCTGTCGTTAATGGGTATACCATTTCCGTCACGAAAGATGATGTGGAACCCTCTGACCTATATCAAACTGACATGTGTCACTTAAAAAAATATTTTTTATATTTTTAGGTAAATTATATCATTCATCATTCAACTATCTTCTCACTTTTGTTTTAGTCACTAAAGTTTACAATATTTTTAATTTAATTATTATCAACCCACCGACCTCAACAGGTCTTCTTCTTCATCATCTTCATTAAGGTCACGGTCCACTAGTGGTAGTCCAGATTCTTATCTGATACCCACCGCCGTTCCAAGTGGTCCTCGGCCTCAAGTTCTGACCGGTGAAACAATACCCTCATCACTGCTAGCCAAAGCATCATCTTCGGCCTCAAGTTGGTGAATTCAATCTTCACAAATTTAGAATCTAAAAGCTTTTTAAATTAACAAAAATATCATTAAAGATAATGGATTCTTCTTTTACTTTACCAATCTGTTCATAGCATTGTTGTTCTTGCGTTGATCCTCATTCAGATCACCTCATCTACAGCTTTCACTTTTCCAATTCTTTCATTTTCCTACGTTTTCTTCAGCTCTCGATTCTTGATTTTCTCGGAAATTTATGGATTTACGGCAATTATTTTACGTTTTTAATTTTTGTTAAGGAATGAATTTGCATGCATTGCATGTTTTTACATGTTTGACATGTTTTCTGTTAAGAATCAGTTGCAAAGTTGTTACGGTTGTTACAGTTGGCTTTCTAATAGTCTTAGCAGAAAGTTTAGTATAAATATATGCTTTTGTAATATTGATAATTCAGCGAATGATTTTACAAGTTTCTATAAACGGTTCTTTTCTTCTTCCTTAATGTTGTTCTTCTTTAGATAGTTATTTCACTATCTCAACATGGTATCAGTTGCCAAGTCTTGGTGCCGGTAGTGTCCGCTGCCTTTTTCATTTTGTATATCTGATCCCTCTGAAGAATGGATAGATCTGGTGTTCCTGTGATTTTCAATTGAGCTCTAGCACAAGGTTTTTCGATTTGGTGTATCTGGTGTGTTATCTTCGTTTCACTCTCTCTAGTTTAGAACTGGATTTGTTCTTTGTTCTAGATTCTTATTTTGAAAGAACTACCTGTTGATTGCGTTTGACTCGTGTTGATTCCTTGGTAATAGAGCAAGCTAGTAATTTGTTTGGTGGTCTTGGGTTTAGATCTGTGCAGTTTTTGTGAAGATTGATATTGATTGTAATGTGGGATTTGCCAAGGTAGTTTATTGGCTATATTGCTGGTGTGTTATTTATTTGTTGTTTTTAGTTATTCGGATTTTTGACAAGTGCTTTATGGGTAAAGAATTAGGCCCACATATAATATTGTATCGGAAATGGTTATTTTCTTAACTCAGTGTCATATGATTCTGATCTATTGTAGGTTATGGACCAACAGGCTGCAGATATCGCTCCTACTCGGGCATTTCTGGAAGAGCAATGACTCTTTCTCTTTGCTCTTCACATAGTCACCACAGAATTTGCACACAGGTGAAGATTAGATCCTTGAAATGTAGTTCGAGAGGAATATATGTTGTATGCAGAGCAGGTTCTAGTGGTTACAGGAGAAACCCTGACTTCTCGAGGCAAAGACATGGGTTTCGAGGGAAGAACATGCAGAATGAGGAGAGAGAATCTTGAAAATGTAGATGAATCTGGAATGATATCTTAAAAAGAACGGGCCATTACTCTCCCTTTCTGGTTCCACGAAATTTCAAGCTGCTGCAGCCCAGGTCCAATAGAGAAGGAGATTGTGGAGCTTTTTAGGAAGGTCCAAGCTAAACTTCAAGAAAGAGTTGTAGTTAAAGAAGATAAGAAAACTAAAGCCTCATAGGGGAAGGGAAAAGAGAGTGAAACAGTCGATTCTATCCTTGAGCTATTGAGGAAGCACTCGGTTGAACAAGGTAAGAAGAAAAACAACGATGGCAACAGCAAACCCTTGCATTTAGATGATCCAGAAGTGAATGACTCTTCTAATGGAGATAAAAGCTCCAGTTTCTTTGGTTCAATTAAAATTAATTGACTTATTAAAATATTAATAAAATAAATAAAATAAATTTAAGTTATTAATAGATGTCATGTCATAAAAAATTAATAAAATAAATTTGAGTTATTAAAATAAGAGCAACTCTATAGTTTAATAATTAAATTAAAAAATTTAAACTTTAATGACTAAAATAAGAGTTAGAAGATAATTGAGTGACGAATAGTATAATTTACCTAAAAAAATTAAAAAAAAATATGTTTTTTAATGTGTTACATGTCATGGTTATAGGGTTTCACGTCACTTTCCATGACGGAAGTGAGTGAATCTGTTAACGGCAAAAAAACATTATGTAGTTAATCGAAAATTTTTAAACTTTATGTATTAAACTGAGAATCAGATATAGTTCATGTATGTATAACAATTAAAATATTTTTATAGATTTTCATTTAAGTATTTATAATTTAATATTAAAGTATAACTTATTTAAGAAAACATATATCATAGGATAATTTAGTAAATTATGCATTAAGTAATTTTATATTTCTTCAAACCAAATACGATATTCTTATATTCCTGTTAAACAAACCAAACAATGTACTATAATATTCTTAAAGTAATACAACATTATGATAATTATATTCCTAAAGATAATCTTATATTATAGGTGTGTTTAGTAAAGTTTTTTAAAAGAACTTTAAGAAAAGTCTGTTTTGAACTTAAAATAAATGTCAAATAGGTAAAAAAAAATGAAGAAAAAAGTTTGCAATGGAAACGGTGGTTTCAAATCAATAGCAAAAGTTAAGATTTCTAGCTCTCATTTTTCGACTTTATGTTTGGAATCAAATTATAATTTTACAGTTACTAATACATAGATTCCACTCAATTATGTATTTGTATTTTATTTTAATAATTTAATACTAACAACCTTAAAAAATAATTTTATTACTTTTAATATTTATTTTAATTATTTAAAAATAAATAAAATCCATAATTTTTATATTAAAATATTAGTAGTAAGTTACATAAAATATTTTTATTTTTATATTTTGTTATAGTTTAAATTGATTTAATTCATACATAGTAATAAATTTTTTGAATTTATTATAGTTTAAATTGATATGATTCATGTATAAAAGTGTAAATATAATTTTAAATGTTATATTTTTAATTTACAATATAATGTCTATAATAGACATTTTATCTTTTCAAATTTGCTTTGTAACAATAATCATGAACAATTAAATTTTAAACTACATTTTTGTACAACATTTTTAGAAGTTCGTTTCTACAAACAATCTTAAATGTTACTTTTTCAAAAACTATACTGAATTAGCCTTATATGAACCAAACGATCCTAATTGACAAACTAGGATGCAATCTGTGGAAGTTGCTTGTGTTTCCTCTAATTCCAATTTCAACCATTTGGGACCCCTTGAGGAATCAGTGTTTCAGGTGATAATTTTTAAAATGAAATTGTTGGATTCTTGTAATTCATAAGAAATTTGAGCTCCCCTTTCTGAATCGTTTTTTTCCATAAATCTAGAATGAAAATAAAATAATAATTATTTAGAGACTTCGAAGATTCATATTTTACGTATATCTTACTCGAATACGAGATCTTGAGAATCTCTTAAACAATTTTACACCGAATTAAAATCAAATGCCGGTGCTTCCTCTCAATGAACCGAGAAATCCGAACATTTAACAAAGGGAAAGGGTAAATAAATTTACGAAATTACATGCTCAATTCAGTCCTCGAACTACTATTTCATGGGGTCTAATGTTAATAGGAAAAAAAGGGGGTGAAAATGGGAAGGGACAATGGGTTCTAATTGTCTAACAAGAAGCCATCTTTGGTTGAAGAAGCATTCCTACTGCTGGACAGACTCCATTGATCCGAAAACCCAACAGATCCATCGACGACCCTATTCCCACACTTGGCCACAGTCCTAACGCTCTCCATCAACTCTTGAGTACGACCTTCTTGTGACAAAATCTCCAACAGCTGTTCCGGTGTGATCACTAACTTCACTTTCCAAAACCCACTGTTGTTGTTGTTGTGCCTAGACAAAACATCAGTATGAGATCTCTTCAGCGTCCCCTGACAATCGCACGACATCCTGTACGGAGCAACACCCGCTGCCGCCGGGATACTGTTGGACCTCACATGCCCTTGTCGCACAATCTGGCCACAGTTGATCGGAAGCAAATAGTAGGATTCTCCGGGGAGTAGTTCGTCGTGGTGGAAAAGTGGTTTCCAGAAGAGATCTTGGGTCCGGAAAATGGCGTGGCCTGGGAACTCATCGGTGATGGTTCCGGCTATTATCGGAGCTGAAAACTCCATAACGCCGCCGTTTGAAGTTATGACTTTGATCACTTCGTCAGCTTCTCCCAAGCCGCCGAACAAGCAGTTCCCCATCTTTTTGTTTCTTATGAATCCTGGTCCATCAAATTGTAAATGGAGGAGTGTATATTAAAGGGAGGGAAAGTTAATGGAGGGAAAGAAAATAATATAGCGTCGGTGGGTTTCTTCTTTAGAGCTTCCTCAAAAAATAACCGCTCATAATACAAATCCCAAAACTAAAGGATAAAGAAAAGAGAAAAGAAATGCGACCACTATCATTGCTAATCCACATCAGATATTCTCATTACTAAATTAGCTGCCCAACAATTCTTACGCGGAAAGAAAGGCTTTAAAAAATCAAATTTGTTGTATAAATTATCTTAGTTATTAAATAAAAAATTATTATTTTCAGAGATTTCAGATTTAAATACTAACAATTTTAATATGAATGATAAAGTGTTTATTTCAAATAATTAAATATTTTAAAAAATATAGTACTTTATAATTACCTTAACTTAATAAAAAATCAAATTTAGTTTTTAAACTTTGATTTAGGTTTTTTTTTTGTTTATAGAATTTTATATAGTTTTCTTAATAAAATTATTGACTTGGGTAGAGAAACACATATAATGAAATAATTGTTGATCAGTATTAAAATTAATTTTTTTGGACTTATCCCTCACTCTTAATTTTGGCCAAAAAAATTATAACAACATTTAGTGTTAGTGTCAGACATAAGATCGTAATAATTATTTGTAAGCTAATAGAGGATAGACTTGATTGATATATTCAACTATCAATTAATTCTAATAGATCACGAACACCTGCAAAAATCCATAGTAAATGATCACAACTTTTAAAAAATATATATAAGATTTCGAAGGTCTTGTGTTCGATTATATTATAAAGTCTTAATTCTATGAAACGAAAATCATTCTTAAAGAAAAAAAAATTCAGAAGGAAAATAACAATGTTATTTCTTTTTAGTTTAATTTAATTTGTAAGTCAAAAGTCTAAAATATTTAACACACCTTTTTTCTATTAATTTGAGATAAATAAAAATAATATTTATTTAAAATAATTTTAAATCATTTTATATTAAACATTTATATTTTTGATATTTTTTAAACCTAACATTTTAAAATAATAATAATTTATTTATCATCAAAGTTATCACACTTAAAAATGTGATTTATATAACACAGTCTTATAAAAACACATCATTATACGATTTTTTTCATATAATATTTTGATAATAATTCATAATGAGTATTCCTTTTAGTGTATACTTTTTAAAAATGTAAATTATATGACTGACCATACAATTTAATTTTTTTATTATTGATATTTTAATTTTTTCAATCAAATCACTTAAATATTTAATTGTTGACAATCAATTTATTAAACATTAACCATTAACGGAAATGTTGACGTGATAGTTAAAAAAATTAACATAATTATATATTTAATCCTTAATATTTATATATTCTATCAATTTGATCTTAATTTAAATTTAATTTAATAAATTAATCTTTCAGTCAAGTGGTGACTCATATCGTTACTTTATTAGAACATATTTTTTAATTTCAATTTATTTAATTAAATAATTTCGTATCGAATAGGTGATGACACAAAAGTCTAGAAGGCGCGCCTTAACCGTTGCACTAGCAACTCAGTTGCACTACTAATAAATTTGAAACAAAAATGAACCTGGGTCATTAAGTTATAGCAAAATATGTTAGCCGCTAGGCTAAATAATAAATTTGATATTATTTTATAATATTTTATATATGAAAAAATAAAACTATTAAATAATTTTAATATAAAATATTATTTAAATAAATATTATTATTAATAATATTAAAAAAAATAATATAAGATAATAATAATTATCATAATAATATTTTATTAATAAACAATATGTGATTTAAAGTAATATAAAATATTATATTATATTTTAATAAATCATATTAAATAAATCACATATAAAATACTATTAATAATTTTAAATAAAAAATATGTGATTTAAATTATTAGTAAACAATATATGATTTTAATAAATCTAATAGAAAATATTATTTAAATAAATAATATTATCAATAATTTTGCATTAACTGAAATAATGTCTATTAGATTTATTTTAGTTTTTTTTCTTTTCATATATAAAATATTCCAACTTTAACATAAAATTTATGATTTATTTTAGTGGCTAACTAATTTGGACCTTGTACTAGAGATTTAAGTCCAACTCTTATTGTGACCATTTTAATTTGTTTTGTTCAGTCATTAGTGATAATAAGGTATATATATAATATTGTAAAACTTGATATGCATGAAAGGTTAGAGCAGTGGTTGAGGTGTGCCTATAACACCCTCTTGGATGAAGGTTTGATTCCTCCATAATCTCATTTATGATATTTCATTAGTTTTTCACTTAATCAGGTGTCAAGTGATGATACGTGACACAATCTGATTAAAAGAATAATTTATTGGATTAAATTTAAACTAATATCAAATTGATAGAATGTATAAGTATTGAGAACTAAATATATAATTATGCCCATCTTTTTAACTTTCACGCCAGCATTAATCTGATTGACTAAATAATTAATGGTGAATGATATAGTTTACCCTTTTTAAAAATGGTGATATATGGATAAAAGAGCCCTTGGAAACCATATATGCGGAGAATCCTAGAGATTAACAGGGGCAATTCGAGCCAGTTTAAATACATTAGCCTTCTATTGTATATTTTTTAGACTTTGATTATTTTCCCGAATATATTTAGCATAAAATTTTAAACGTCTTTAAATATCAACATGGATAGAGATGAACGGAACCATTTACAGGGAAAGCAGAAAAGCCACGGTCAATGACCAAACTTCTTTATCACTTTCTCTTTTGGAAAATTTCCTCATTCAACTTCACAGCTTTGGAATTCTCTATATATATATATATACATATATATAGAGAGAGAGAACAGCTTTGGAAACTAAAGTTAATATATATGAAAGAGAGAGAATCACACCAATCTGTAGAGTTCTTTATAAACTTTAAACACCCTACAAGAAAAATAACATATGTTTGGTATATAAATATTGATGTAAAAAATAATTAATATATTAATTTAAAAATAGTTTATCGTTGTTATTGATGAAAACCAATAGGTTGTAGTTATTGTTGATGAAAACCAATAAGTTGTAATAACTATAGATAGTTCATTTATTTTGATTTAAGTGAAAAATTATAACTGATGATTCACGATGGAATTACATATTGGTGATATGATTTGTTTTAAAAGATTTAAGGATTGTATGAGAAGGCTTGAGACATCAAGATAAAGAGAACCTGAAAGTATTTTGATTTAAGGGTTTGTTTGTTAGGGGAAAAAATTTACGAAAAATATTTTCCCCGTTTTCCCGTAAAAGTATTTAGTCAATGTAATTACATTTAAGGTCAACGTAAAAGACGCTAAGGAATCTCGTAAAACCACTCACCATGGAAAAAACGGGAATTCATTTTATGAACCAACTGCTTGCCCTTCTTTGCCTTTGATCTTCTTCATTCTCCGATCAACTATCACCATCTTCTTCTCGCCAACAACAATTACTCAGCCCACAACAAAATTAGCAGATTTTGTACCAGCAAAAGCAAGTGAGGAGCTCTACGATTCCAAGGTAATATTTCGAATCCCTAATGATCTTCTTCTTCTTTCTAAATGATAGCTTCTTCTTCTTCTTTTTCCTTGTTTAGAGCCTTGAGATTATGTAATTTTGTTGGTATTCTGGTTTTTTCTAGCTTCATGTCGAAAGCAATCCAGGTTATAGCAGTAGAATAATACGTGATTTGGGCATAGACCCATTTTCAGTAGAAAACAGACATGAACTTCCCATTAATGGCTCTGTGGTTATGCTTTTGCTTCAGAATTTTCTTCTAGTTATGACTTTGGTTTAGTTTACTAGCAAATGAATTAACAAGCTACACAAAGGTGACCATATCTGATTTTGGCTGAAAAGTACGACACTAGGTAAGCCCTTTGTCTGGTTGAGCATTGAGAGTACCAACTTCAGACTTGTAGAAGTTCAGGAGAAATTCTGATGCCAAAGGACCTCCATGTTTTTAAATTATACTAGTACCATATAGAGTTTTTTTTTTTTATGTTTACCTAGCTTATGGGTCGGTGTCATAGAAATTGATTCTTGAGACTTAAAATTTTAGTTAGGCTTGTTGGTTATGCTTTTCTGAGCGTGCTGTTATGCATTGGATCTCAAATGTAGTGTAAAAAATTTCTGAGATACATGAAGTACCCTAGTTGGTCAATACATGTATTTTAAACTTTCAAGTGCCTAGAGCAGTCTCCTTGGTGCTTCATTTAAAAAAATTGTAAGATTTTACTCGAGGCTGCTTTTGGAGAAAGTGATATTGGCTGCTATAATTCATCTAAGAGTTCGGAAAAGAGTGATACTTCTTACATTGTATTCCCCAGCCAATGTGTTGAAAGTTCCACCAAAACTACAGATGTTTATATTATTTGGCTTTTGGACTGTGTATATGTGTAAGTTTGCATTGTGTCAGAGCAGAACGGCTGATCTTTGATTATTTTGGTCTCTATGGTATGGATTAAGTTAGTCGCTGACAAACAGAGAAGGGGAAATCTTTTTCTTTCTAGTTATTCCTTTCATATGTTTTGTGTTGCTTTAAAGGGATAAGAGATGCTTATTGCACGTGAATGTAGATTTTTGGTTTCTGGAGTACATAATAGAATTCCAATATTTTAAAGCTTTAGATTATATGCTGATAACTAGGATTAGCAGCGAGGGATGGTGGTCGACTTTTTGGACTTCAAAATGAGGTGTATCTTCCCCCTTTTTTCATTCTGTTGATTTAATTGTTGTACCACCAAACTTCTTATCTTGCTTAAGTTCAACAAAGCATGCACAATCTATTCTTACATGAACCCAAGAATATATAATATTTTCATATTTCCCACTACAAAATCTTTTAATTCATCTTTGAAGCTAGAAATGCAGTGTACCTATCGCACTGAATATCTAGCGTCTTCTTTACAGTCGACATCATCATCTATGGACATAGGTTCTGCTTTTGCCCCCTGTTTTGCTTCAGAATTTAAGGACCCCTTCTTGAGAGACTTAAACTTGCTTTCTTTGTCTTCTTCATC